CTGTGTGACAGCCTCAGTTACTGTGTGACAGCCTCAGTCACTGTGTGACACCCTCAGTTACTGTGCGACACCCTCAGTCACTGTGTGACACCCTCAGTCACTGTGTGACAGCCTCAGTTACTGTGTGACACCCTCAGTCACTGTGTGACACCCTCAGTCACTGTGTGACACCCTCAGTTACTGTGTGACACCCTCAGTCACTGTGTGACACCCTCAGTCACTGTGTGACACCCTCAGTTACTGTGTGACACCCTCAGACACTGTGTGACACCCTCAGTTACTGTGTGACACCCTCAGACACTGTGTGACACCCTCAGTTACTGTGTGACACCCTCAGTTACTGTGTGACACCCTCAATCACTGTGTGACACCCTCAGTTACTGTGTGACACCCTCAGTTACTGTGTGACACCCTCAGTTACTGTGTGACACCCTCAGTTACTGTGTGACACCCTCAATCACTGTGTGACACCCTCAGTCACTGTGTGACACCCTCAGTCACTGTGTGACACCCTCAGTTACTGTGTGACACCCTCAGTTACTGTGTGACACCCTCAGACACTGTGTGACACCCTCAGACACTGTGTGACACCCTCAGTTACTGTGTGACACCCTCAGACACTGTGTGACACCCTCAGTTACTGTGTGACACCCTCAGTTACTGTGTGACACCCTCAGTCCCTGTGTGACACCCTCAGTTACTGTGTGACACCCTCAGACACTGTGTGACACCCTCAGTTACTGTGTGACACCCTCAGTTACTGTGTGACACCCTCAGTTACTGTGTGACACCCTCAGTCACTGTGTGACACCCTCATACACTGTGTGACACCCTCAGTTACTGTGTGACACCCTCAGACACTGTGTGACACCCTCAGTTACTGTGTGACACCCTCCGTCACTGTGTGACACCCTCAGTCACAGTGTGACACCCTCAGTTACTGTGTGACACCCTCAGTTACTGTGTGACACCCTCAGTTACTGTGTGACACCCTCAGTCACTGTGTGACACCCTCAGTCACTGTGTGACACCCTCAGTTACTGTGTGACACCCTCAGTCACTGTGTGACACCCTCAGTTACTGTGTGACACCCTCAGACACTGTGTGACACCCCCAGTTACTGTGTGACACCCTCAGACACTGTGTGACACCCTCAGACACTGTGTGACACCCTCAGTTACTGTGTGACACCCTCAGTCACTGTGTGACACCCTCAGTCACTGTGTGACACCCTCAGACACTGTGTGACACCCTCAGACACTGTGTGACACCCTCAGACACTGTGTGAAACCCTCAGTTACTGTGTGACACCCTCAGTTACTGTGTGACACCCTCAGTCACTGTGTGACCCCCTTAGTTACTGTGTGACACCCTCAGTCACTGTGTGACACCCTCAGTTACTGCATGACACCCCCAGACACTGCATGACACATACCAAACATGACAGGGACTGCACCTTGAGTGGCATGTTTCCATAAGAAGGAATACAGGCTCTAGTGACCCCGTCCCGTTCCACCTATGCTCCCCTTCCATCACACCTCCATACCACCTCTTTCCCTCATTTATTCTCTTCTCTTTCATATTGGAAATCGTTTTCCATCCGGCATGGTAGTTGGACCGCCAGCCGGCCGTGTGCATGTCTGCTTCTGTGTATCTGATACATTGTCCAACACTGAAGACAAAAATTAGGGAAAAACAGTGTGTGTGTGTGTGTGTGTGTGTACACTCACCTAGTTGTGTTTGCAGGGGTTGAGCTCTGGCTCTTTGGTCCCGCCTCTCAACCGTCAATCAACTGGTGTACAGGTTCCTGAGCCTACTGGGCTCTATCATATCTACACTTGAAACTGTGTATGGAGTCAGCCTCCACCACATCACTGCCTAATGCATTCCATCCGTTAACTACTCTGACACTGAAAAAGTTCTTTCTAATATCTGTGTGTGTGTGTGTGTGTGTGTGTGTGTGTGTGTGTGTGTGTGTGTGTGTGTGTGTGTGTGTGTGTGTGTGTGTGTGTGTGTGTGTGTGTATGTGTGTGTGTGTGTGTGTGTGTGTGTGTGTGTGTGTGTGTGTGTGTGTGTGTGTGTGTGTGTGTGTGTGTGTGTGTGTGTGTGTGTGTGTGTGAGCGCAGATAACAGCAGTAAGAGGGCACCATAGTGAAGCACCCACTCCCACTGTTCAAAAATGTCTCCCATGTAATTTCCCCTCGAACCATTCCCCTTTTATTTTCGTCCAAGTTTCAGCTCGCCTCGAGTACTTTCCACAGGCGTGCGCCCATCGTCCCACAGTCTATCGCTCACTTGAATAGCTTTCCATATGAAAATAATTACTTGAATTGCCTTTTTCTAATATGTCGTCAACCAGTTAACATTTACCTGGGAGTTACTTGACTGTTGTGGCATGCATCCTGAGGGACGGTCAGTCGTTGGACTATGAGGGTTGGGGTCCTCGATAAGCCTAAATGCTTTTAACCGACTCTTAACAATGGGAAGATGTAAACGGCTGAAAGTCTATTAAATAGCATCGAAACCTTTTAGCGAATCAACGCGGCAACATCTACGTTTGTTAACTCTGTTGCAACGTTGCACCTCCGTGAGAATAACGTAACGGTAACGGAGTGTGTTTGCTGGTAACGGACGAATACTAATTATTTGGTCTTCCAAAAACTTGATTTTTTAGAAAATTTTTGTCCGAAATATTTTATTTGTGTGTGACACTCTCAGTTACTGTGTGACACTCTCAGTTACTGTGTGACACTCTCAGTCACTGTGTGACACCCTCAGTTACTGTGTGACACCCTCAGTTACTGTGTGACACCCTCAGTTACTGTGTGACACCCTCAGTTACTGTGTGACACCCTCAGTTACTGTGTGACACCCTCAGTTACTGTGTGACACCCTCAGTCACTGTGTGACACCCTCAGTTACTGTGTGACACCCTCAGTTACTGTGTGACACTCTCAGTCACTGTGTGACACTCTCAGTCACTGTGTGACACTCTCAGTTACTGTGTGACACTCTCAGTTACTGTGTGACACCCTCAGTTACTGTGTGACACCCTCAGTTACTGTGTGACACCCTCAGTTACTGTGTGACACCCTCAGTTACTGTGTGACACTCTCAGTTACTGTGTGACACCCTCAGTTACTGTGTGACACCCTCAGTTACTGTGTGACACTCTCAGTTACTGTGTGACACTCTCAGTTACTGTGTGACACCCTCAGTTACTGTGTGACACCCTCAGTCACTGTGTGACACCCTCAGTCACTGTGTGACACTCTCAGTTACTGTGTGACACCCTCAGTTACTGTGTGACACCCTCAGTTACTGTGTGACACCCTCAGTTACTGTGTGACACTCTCAGTTACTGTGTGACACCCTCAGTTACTGTGTGACACCCTCAGTTACTGTGTGACACCCTCAGTTACTGTGTGACACTCTCAGTTACTGTGTGACACCCTCAGTTACTGTGTGACACCCTCAGTTACTGTGTGACACTCAGTTACTGTGTGACACCCTCAGTTACTGTGTGACACACTCAGTTACTGTGTGACACTCTCAGTTACTGTGTGACACCCTCAGTTACTGTGTGACACTCTCAGTTACTGTGTGACACTCAGTTACTGTGTGACACCCTCAGTTACTGTGTGACACTCTCAGTTACTGTGTGACACTCTCAGTTACTGTGTGACACCCTCAGTTACTGTGTGACACCCTCAGTTACTGTGTGACACCCTCAGTTACTGTGTGACACCCTCAGTTACTGTGTGACACCCTCAGTTACTGTGTGACACCCTCAGTTACTGTGTGACACCCTCAGTTACTGTGTGACACCCTCAGTTACTGTGTGACACACTCAGTTACTGTGTGACACCCTCAGTTACTGTGTGACACACTCAGTTACTGTGTGACACACTCAGTTACTGTGTGACACCCTCAGTTACTGTGTGACACTCTCAGTTACTGTGTGACACTCTCAGTTACTGTGTGACACCCTCAGTCACTGTGTGACACCCTCAGTTACTGTGTGACACCCTCAGTTACTGTGTGACACCCTCAGTTACTGTGTGACACCCTCAGTTACTGTGTGACACCCTCAGTTACTGTGTGTGACCCTCAGACACTGCTTGACACCCTCAGACACTGCATGACACCCTCAGACACTGCATGACACCCTCAGACACTGCATGACACCCTCAGACACTGTGTGACACCCTCAGACACCGCATGACACGCTCAGACACTGCATGACACCCTCAGACACTGCATGACACCCTCAGACACTGCATGACACCCTCAGACACTGCTTGACAGCCTCAGACACTGCATGACACCCTCAGACACTGCATGACACCCTCAGACACTGCATGACACCCTCAGACACTGCATGACACCCTCAGACACTGCATGACACGCTCAGACACTGCATGACACTCTCAGACACTGCATGACACGCTCAGACACCGCATCATTACAGTGTAATGATACAGTGACGTGGTTTACTATCAAGTCAGCCTATTGAATATTTCATGAATATTGAGTTTACCGTTTCAGATCTGAGAATTCCCAGTGATAAAGCTGTATCTTGTCCTGCATTCTCATTGGTTCCCCGGGCAGTTGTGAATTGATAAGTCAGTATTGCACTAGTTCACCGCCGTCCCAGCCGACCAATTAGAATGTAGAGCAGGATTACCCTGTCCCCTCGACAGGGTGGTTATCTCACCTCTCATTATTCATGAAATAAATCTAGCTGTCTATGTCCATATGCATTCACTTTCCTGCCTCCGAAGATGCTAAGGAGTACTGTAGCGAAACTAATCCATTAGAGACACACTAAAGTATAAAACGTTACACTTTTATCTACAAGAGTTACGTGCAAAGTGAAGACAATAGACATAATTCGTCTTTGTAAAACTGATATTCTGGAAGAAAGGGTCAGAGTCTCTCCTGAATGCATATTGTTCTCTCATCAGAGACCATGGGTCCCAACAATATTATCAGCTATCATGAACTATTCAATAACGAGTGCTATAAAAGATATATACGTGAGTTGAACCAATAACTCAGTTATCAAACCCAACAGCACAAAAACATTCTGTTAACAACTCGGTTAAATAAATCTGAATACATTCTGACAGATCTGCATAAAACTGGGCAATACAATAGAAATAAAACATGTAATGAAGTCATAGGGGGGTAAAAATCGATTTTATATGCAAATAGAGTTGCCTAGCTTGTTGCATGTAGTCAACCACACTTGTAAAGACTTCCTACCAGCAGCAACAACCTGCTTGTTCCAACACGCCTTCTAAAGCGAACGATAGGCCTTGCTATAACGAAGATAGGCCTGCTCCAACGATTGATAGCCTTGCTACAACGAACAAGAGATCCACTCCAACGAACAAGAGATCCACTCCAACGAACAAGAGACCTACTCCAACGAACAAGAGACCTGCTCCAACGAACAAGAGACCCACTCCAACGAACAAGAGACCTGCTCCAACGAACAAGAAACCGACTCCAACGAACAAGAGACCTGCTCCAACGAACAAGAGACGTGCTCCAACGAACAAGAGACCTGCTCCAACGAACAAGAGATCCACTCCAACGAACAAGAGACCTGCTCCAACGAACAAGAAACCGACTCCAACGAACAAGAGACCTGCTCCAACGAACAAGAGACCTGCTCCAACGAACAAGAGACCTGCTCCAACGAACAAGAGACCTGCTCCAACGAACAAGAGACCTGCTCCAACGAATAAGAGACCTGCTCCAACGAACAAGAGACCTGCTCCAACGAACAAGAGACCTGCTCCAACGAACAAGAGACCTGCTCCAACGAACAAGAGACCTGCTCCAACGAACAAGAGACCTGCTCCAACGAACAAGAGACCTGCTCCAACGAACAAGAGACCTGCTCCAACGAACAAGAGACCTGCTCCAACGAACAAGAGACCTGCTCCAACGAACAAGAGACCTGCTCCAACGAACAAGAAACCAGCTCCTACAGAAAATTAATTTTATTCTTAGTATCTACGCCGCTGACAAGACATGTTAGGTTAGTTTTGGGTAGGATATGTTATCTTAGATTAACTTAGAATGGATTTAGCCAGTTCGATTGCACAATTTCTGTTTAAAACTCACTGCAGGACACTGGGATGTAAGTGAAGAGGATTGCAACTTCTTGGTCTCCTACACAGGTAGGCTTAGCGGTCATAAGCGCATCCTGTTCTCGAAGCTAGTCCCACGTGGGAGGGAGGGAGGGAGAGAGAGAGAGAGAGAGAGAGAGAGAGAGAGAGAGAGAGAGAGACTGTTTCTATTATAAGTCACAGACGGTTATAACGATGACTTACTGTGCGGCTTCAAGGCATGGGCTCTTTGACAAGGACTTAAGGGCTTCAAATCCCTGAAGAGGGGGGACATATAGTGGTAAACCACACGGTAAACCACACGGTAAACCACATACCCACACGCACACACCCACTACCAAAGAGCCAGAGATCTTCCTCCCGCAACACAACTAGGTGAGCACACACACACACACACACACACACACACACACACACACACACACACACACACACACACACACACACACACACACACACACTCCACATAAATTATAACCTTCCAAACACCTCGGTACACACAAAAGGCGATAGTATTATATATGCCCCTCCGACTTTACAACATGACCCACACTGTGAGTACGATAAGATGATGACAAGTGAGAAAAGAAAAAAACAAAAGAAAATCAAGAAGACTATATGTATCATAGAAAACGACACCGGGAGAGTTTTTTGTATCATTGAAAACACATCACGGACACAATTTCAACTATAGAAAATGGGTAGAGAGTTCAGGTGGAGATATTCACTCATTCTAAACTAATTTCAGTCTCGTGGCTGAATAGTTTCAGGTTCTCTCTACTATTTTTTCCTTTAATTCCTACGTGCAGGTGGAAAGCCTTTGTGAAGTTTCGGAACTTTTTTTTTTGGCAAGATCTTGAGGTGATGTTGGCAAGATGTGCAACTGTGGGATTATGTGTAGCTGAGGGTATTGTGTGTAACTGACAGGGGACTCTTCACCTTGGAAAGGAGAGCATATGGCACCGCAGGGGAGCTGTGAAGCTTCCACCTATGCACATGCATTATTTTTATCTCACAGAAGACTACCGAATTCACTGCAAGGTTCGGGGGGACCAAACTGGTACCCAAACAGGATTTTACAATTAGCCCGCCTACACTCTGGTCAGTGGGTACAGGGGTTCATACTCTTATATCAATGATATGAAGGAGGGGCATATCATGCAATAGTGATTTCTTTGTGATCTGAAGGATGGTATTCTGGTAAGAATGTGAACAACATTACCCACAGGCCAGAGTGAAGGACGTCTAATCGTAAAATCCTGGTTGGGCACCATCTCGGGCCTCCAGAACCTTCGAGTGAACTCAGTAGAGTTCTGGGATGGTTGGCTTTTGTCCTATCGTGGCCGTGTGGGTTAAGATAGATGTTTGGAAATCACCAGAACGCCAGTTTAAGTCACCCTCATTGCCGCAAAATGATTTATACATAATTATATATACATAGTTACGGTAATCTCTCAGGAAGAGACTAGGCCAGCTCCATCATCACGTATTCTACCACATCACGTCTGCATATTCAAGAATTCACAGTAAGAACAACAACTACTTCTCAGACGTCTAGATAGTACCACCAGTCTACACCCCCCAGGGCCCGTAAGACCATCGCACCTGGCGACGGCCCCAGTATCACGCAACTGCCTGCAACAAGCGCAATGGTAGATCGAGCCGGCTCCCAGGTATCGACGCAACCCGTCCTCTTAAAAATAACGTCACTTTTGGCTGGTATGCGCACTATGGCCAAATTTGGACGTAATTTGAAATGAAATCGACTCACAAAAGTGACGTACTGTCCCGTTTTCTGTTTGAGTCGTCCGGCCCTCCTCGGACAGCTTAGAAGAGGAACTTTCCATTAACGTTTTTCATAACGTTTTGAAAATTTATGAGAATTTCCTGCCCACCTAACCTATCAGAGGACCCTTAACTTACTGTTGTTGAAAAAAAAAATCGCAAATTTATTTTCAATATTTTTTCATTTTCAAATTACGTCCGTATTCGGCCATACGGGCAAACGGCCAAAAGCGACGTTCTTTTTAAGAGGACAGGTTGATCGACGACACCAGCGCCACCGGGACGGCCGTTTCTCCTGTATATAGAGGCTAGCCAGCGCCACCAAGTCAGAATACTCCCACGTGCTCCACTGCCTGGATCCGCTAACATACGTCTCTGTGTGGTGGCAGATTTATGCAGCCTGGCTCACAGTACTCACGCACCATTTTATTGTTTGCACCTTAACGTAACGTAACTTTGTCCGTTTGTTTGTCTTTTGTATTTGCGCACTTTGAGTAAAGCCAAGTTTTGATACTATTTTTATTTATGTAAAGTGGTTAAGGTAATTTTCTTAGTAGAGTATTTATAGTTTTTCTCTCTCTGTTTTATCCTATAGTTGCCTCAGTGTGAAGATAAATGGCAGTCTAATTTTTGTTTTCACTTTTTTTTTATGTGACCAGCATTCCATTGTGCCCTATAGAGACTGTGCTATTTTCACGTCACATAAATTGGTGGCCTGTCCTGGGAGTTTTGCTCAGGTATGCTTCTAGACTCTTCACTTAAAGTTGTGGTAACTGTACTTCCTTTATTACAAGTTTATCTTTTCAGAACTCTTTATTTTTTGAGTAATTTTAATGGTGCTTCATACTATTTGCTTTCCATGTTTAACAATTTATGACTGTTGGATTGACTTTGGATTACGTGGTGTCTTGTGGCCACAGTCATACTCGTAATTGGTGGTGCAATATTCATTGTTATATCCTGTGATTTCCACCTTATTCTCGTCCATGAAGGAGAATTTCTCATCACGGTAGATCACCCCCTTTGGTACCCTGGTACTTTGATCTGTCTCCGGGCTAATACGCACACGTCTTTGTATACGTAGGAGGGTACAGAGGGCCATAGTTCCTCTCGCACGGACTATGCTGTAAAGTTGGGATCCGTACAAGTAGTTCTCGTCATTAATTGACACTCTCCGCACCCCTACGCGTCGGTCAAAGACTATGGTACTTACAAAGGTAGGGAGTTAACATTTTTTTCCAGAGCACAAAGTGTGTTAACTCTGTAAGTACTATCTAGTGTCAGTAGGAAACCTTCTATATTGGTACGGAGAAGCATCAAGAGGAAGTATCGGCCAATAGGCCCTTTGCAGTTCCATTCTTATGCTCTCATATATCCAATTAATACCCATTGTTCCGTGTTCTGTCTTGTGTTTGTCAAAAGTTTGATCACCTCATCCAAAACTGTTGCACCATATCACCTCACCCAAGAGCGAGTATATAAGACGGATAAGCTGTTTAGTGTTAGCATAAGTAAAACTCTGGTTACAGGTGTGTGTGTAAACTAAAGTCTTTGAAAATGTAATAAGTTATTACGAAACGCGTTCAAGCGTCACGTCAGACTAGAAATAAAAAGGAATTTTGGAGAATTGATTTTTCAATTACCATCGACAATGAAAAGAAACATAAGAAATATTGAGAAAATTTCATGTTAGAATTATTAATCTTACTTTTTCGGTCATATTTAACAACATATGTTTACAAGAAAGACTGCTACCAAAATATACTAATATATATATATATATATATATATATATATATATATATATATATATATATATATATATATATATATTTTATAGTTTTTTCTTCCTATTACAGTTTCTGTGGCGGACCTTGAATAAGAAAATACAAAAAATTCGTTTATATTCTTTGCAGAATAAGCAGAGTTTCTTATAAAATATTAAAATGTGGAATTATTCATAATGAGGAGAGATAACCTCCAGCTTCGTTTAATTAAAAGTTTTATAAGAGAATTATTTAAATGATAATAACACACGCCAGGACTCCCTTGACTTTATTTTCTCACCTCAAAAGCTGGATTATTAAGCTTACTGAAGCTGCAAAGTTTGAATAAGCATATTGATTAACCTAACACACACACACACACGCACACACACACGCACACGCACACACCACACACACACACACACACGCACACACCACACACACACACACACACACACACACACTCTCTCCAGTGTAAAAGATATACAAAAAATTATTATATTTTAGCATCCATAGAACTCATGTCAATAACAGCTAACGTGAAAATTAAGTTCGTATGATCATTTGTACATATTTTTTTCGCAACAGCTTGGCCATCCACTGTCATGTTGTTGCACCATCCACTTGCACTGGTCGGTACAGCGACGGCCTCGCCTCTTGCAGGGCCCGGGTTCGATTCCCAAATGGTCCAAATGGTTTGGGCAGCGTTCTCCTTGTTCTTCCATGAGCTGTACTGCCGGTGGGGGTTAATACTTTCGCCTCGTAACTATGGAGAAATCTCGGTTATTGACCCTAGGGGTTATTGACCCTAGTGGTTATTGACCCTAGTGGTTATTGACCCTAGTGGTTATTGACCCAAGTGGTTATTGACCCTAGTGGTTATTGACCCTAGTGGTTACTAACCCAAGTGGTTATTGACCCTAGTGGCTACTGACCCTAGTGGTTATTGACCCTAGTGGTTACTGACCCTAGTGGTTACTGAGCCTAGTGGTTATTGACCCAAATGGTTATTGACCCTAGTGGTTATTGACCCAAGTGGTTATTGACCCAAGTGGTTATTGACCCTAGTGGTTATTGACCCTAGTGGTTATTGACCCTAGTGGTTATTGACCCAAGTGGTTACTAACCCTAGTGGTTACTGACCCTAGTGGTTACTGACCCAAGTGGTTATTGACCCAAGTGGTTATTGACCCTAGTGATTATTGACCCTAGTGGTTATTGACACAAGTGGTTATTGACCCTAGTGGTTATTGACCCAAGTGGTTATTGACCCTAGTGGTTATTGACCCTAGTGGTTACTAACCCAAGTGGTTATTGA